AAAAGTTTCTTTCCACTGGAAAGCAGCAGCTATTGAAAAGACAGATGAAAAGGCAGAGGTGAATTTCTGCTATATTATGGATTCTTGAGTCTGAAAAGTAACATTATTAAAAGATCCTAGATTTTAAACTAGTAACCCCTGGTGTAACCCGGCCCACTTTCTTAGCTCTTCAGATACACTGTACAGTCCTGTGACAGGCAGGAACATGGGAAGTAATTTATTTGGACTGAGAAATGGAATGCATAAGCTACTGTTTTTAGTAATTACTTGCTTAGAATATCTGCGTTTTACTCATTCAAGTGTTTTAGGATTTCAGTTCAATAGTTAGTCTTACTATCTGGCACCACAGTATACATGTTCTCATATCTTCTCAGTTATGGTCTCATTTAGTGAAGTAACTTCGTCAGAAGAGTACTATGAACCACTAAAAAAAAAAATCCAACCAAACAAAACTTTTATACTTGCTATTTCCTTTTCCAGTCAGAGTACAGATGGTGACTGTCAGTAAAGGTAAGTATCTTCAGAGTTAAGCCATTTTGTAACATGTAAAGACTACCTCTGAGAAGATATCTTCGGGACTGGGGGGCACCCAACCCCAAATCAAAACAACCCTCCCCCCAAAACTCCTGAAAACTCAAGTATATATATACACCCTGTTACGTATACCCTACATTTTTGAAGGAATGTTGGGTACTTATCTGTTGTTTTACTAGGAAAAAATTCATCACGTTCATGCAAAAAAATAAATTATCTAGTGTTGTTAATGGCATGAAGCATGTGTCTTCTTACTGCCTTCTTTTGAAGATGAGAAGGCACAAGTGTCAAATGTGCAAAACTAAGCAATTGCTACAAATGTGGAAGAGCAGCCACTCTTCAAACAGTTTTACTTGTTCTATTGCCTTTCATGTGAGGCCCTTAAAGCTCACGTATTTGTGAATCACCTTGTGGGACGTGATCCTTCCCTTCTACTCAGCCCTGGTGAGGCTGCATCTGGTGTACAGTGTCCACTGCTGGGCTCCCCAGGTCGAGAGACACGGACGGACCTGCTGGAGCAAGTCCTGCAGAGCGCTGCAAAGAGGGTTGAAGGACTGGAGGACCTGACATATGAGGAGAAGCTGAGAGAGTTGGGTCTGTTCCTCCTGGAGAAGGGAAGGCTCAAGAGGATCTTATCGCTGTGTGACTGGGAGGAGTAGAGACAACAAGGCCAGACTCTTTTTAGTGATGCCCAGTGACAGGATGAGAGGCAACAGGCACAAACTAAAACAGAGGAAGCTCTGCCTGAACCTGTGAAAACACTTTACTTTGAGGATGGTTAAGCACTGGAACAGGTCGCCCAGAGAGGTTATGGATCCTCCATCTGTGGAGATATTCAAAACCAACTGGACATGGGTTCCAGCTGACCCTGGTTTGAGCAGGGGAGTTGGACCAGGTGCTCTCCAGAGGTCCAGATAAGGAAGACTGAACAAGCCATCTGCCTGCTTAGGAGGAAAGGTTTAGAAAAAGAGACTACTTAGGAATGTTAACACACACACACAAAATATCTATCTAAAAAGAAAACAGACATAGGAGATTTTAGGCTGATTATAAAAAGCCTTATCAGTTTAACAGATGAGTAGTAGGTACAGCAAAATCAACATGCAAATTACACTAATTCCTCATTATCTCTACTCAGATCTTCAGTGTTTTCTTTAGAAGACAAACCCCAATAGTAGTGAGAGCACCCTGACACAACGTATACAGACTTGCCCTTTGATAGTAGCAGCAGGGACTACAGCAAGCTTCCAGTTCACGTGCCTCCTGTAGAGCTGAGTGATCAGTCTGCCTACAGGCAAGAGCCTTCTCTTGAAATAACCTGCATTTGAAAGCTACTGTTCAAGATTCTCCTGAGCTCTCCAGGTAAGTATCTGCTGCACACACAGCAGCAGTAGGTACCCTACTGTCACTACTCAGATGGAGCAGTTGAGCTGATCTTAATTTAACAAAGGAATCCTCAGCTCCCCTCTCCACGTGTTTTACAGTATTTTCCACACCGCAGTCAACAAGATCACTTGTACTTTGCGTAGACTTAACTAAACTGGTTTTAGGCACAGAGGTAATCTATCCACACAGCATAATGCAGAATTGCGCGAAAATATCTAAACTAGTTTAACTACTGGAAGCCGCTGTGGTATCAGTCCAGTGATTTCACACAACTATATTCTGTCCTTTCAAGTTCCTTCTCTGCCCTACGTTTAAAGGCAAGACATAGCTATAAGGTAAGTATCAATTGAATGAAATAAAAATTCCATACCAGTGAGTCTACATTTATACAGTGTTATGTCGCCAGAACCTCTTTTTCTGGCTTTCAGTCCCTCATTCCATATCTTCCTTCAAAATCAGCCCTGGGACCCTTTCCATCGTCTGCATAGTCTCCATTTCTCAAGATAGAATTCCCTTCAGCTATTTTGAAGCTTCATCTCTCATTCTCATTACTCATCCAATTTTCATCCTGTCCTATTACTCTAGGATGTACTGTTGGTAAATATATCTACAGGATCATTATCCAAGGAGGAAAACTGATAACAGGGAAGTTTCATGAACTGTAGACACCATCAGCCAGTCCAGTGTTTACTCCATGTTGTGCAACTGGAAATGCTGTACCACTAATCAGCCTTCTTGTCACCATGACGCTATTTGGCCCTGCATTTGATCTTGATGAAGAGTGAAGGCCAATTTTAGCAAGATCCTGGGCTGCTACTGCTGGTAATGGACAAACATTCAGGACAGAAGATGTGTAATTGTTTAGTTTCCAACTGTCATCCAAGTTTGGAGGCTAAATATCCTTATCTTGCTTCCGGATCTCCTTGCAGCTCCTAACTCAGTTGCTTTTTCCCTATCACGCTAACCTGCAACCACATTCAGACGCATGCAGCAGAACTGACTTTCCCCAGTAAGTGCTCTTTCTCAAAGATGACCAAAGTTTATTAATTTCCCCATATTTCTCACATACACTCATGAAATACAAGAAATCAAATACAGTAGTCCTATCAGTCCTATCTTGTAGTATTAATATAAAAAGAAAAATCCAGATGCTCATAACTGAACAGAATGGAGTTCTCCATTTTAATACTATTTTCTTGTGTGAGGTGTCCTATACTTTTTTCCTAATTTGTTTTGTTCTGCATTCAGAATATTCGACTTTCCATGAAAGATAAGTCCTAGAATGTGGTTTTTACATAACCAACTGCTTTTCAGAGGCTCTACCTTGGCTACTTAAGAGAAGCTGATGCCATTGAGACTTCTCCTCAAAGCCTTTAAGATCCACTGCCTTCAGAAATATCATGAGGAAACTACCCCCACCTCTTCTCAGGAGAGGTACAAGAATTTAAATATTCAAAACAGCATTTTTTCCTCCAGCATTCAAAAAACACCAAGGGAGCCAGGACAACCAAAAGGAGGGCAGAACCAACCGTTCAAAGGGAAAAGCAAAGTGTTTACTGCAGTCAGGAAAGAGCAGGCAGCTTAGAAGTTGTTAGCAGTTCAGCTTCTTCCCATGGAGGACATCATGATTCAAAAGATATCAGGCCATCAAGAGGGGAAGGTGTTATGCGCTCTGTAACCCCAGCTGTAAGCTTCCACCCCACCCACAGGGGTTTAGAAGCCTGTTTAGCCAGGATTCATGCCCCAGATCCCATGTAGTACAGCTGCTTAGCCATGGCTCAGGTTGCTGATAAAGTCCATACAGAGAGAGAAAGGTAAAAATTACAAACAGAAGTAGGACTGCCAAGATGGAGATCATTAGCAACTCAAGGACTCCAGACTCCAGCATGGGAGGTTATAAAATTGCAGAGGGAAGAAATACCCCAGTGAAGTTAGTCAGGCTCCTCGTGAACCATTCTGCTATTTGTTCAGCGTCAGTGCAGCTGCAGGAAGATTGGAGACCATGGAGGATCTCCGCCATGGAGCTGCAGCGGCTACTCCTTTCGCTCCTGACTGGTGCCTTATGAAGCAATACTTAGCCTAATGGCTCATTAAATCCTAGTCATCTTTTGTAGGCATTAAAAATGTAAATAAGTTGTGCATATCCTGCTTACAGAGTCTCTCTGCATCTGGCTGAAGACGGTACTTGAAGAAACTGACCCAAAGTGGGGCTGTAACACCCCACAGAAACATTTAGGGCAAGGCTGGCCTAACAAAGTCATTACAGATGATCAACCTAGAGGTAATGATACTAACATCCACAGTGCATATGATATTCTTTACTATAAACAGCTGAGAAAGAAAGAAGAAATATATAGTGACAGAAATTCTACACAGAAGCATATGTTTCCGCTCTCTTGAAGAGGCTTTTCCCATCCAGACAGAACGTTATTGCTTTGGCTTATACACAAATTAAGTTCTTGTTCTGTATGAATTTCTAGTGTTAACTCTCTCCACTAAATACAGAACAGAGGACATTAGCTCTCTGCACCTGAAGTTGGCCTCCGCAAGTCCCCTGTACTACCCCTGCTTTATAGAGGAAAAACTGCAAATCATATGTAGGAGCAAGTAATAGCTAGACATATCTCCCAATACGGAGCACACACTCTTCAAAAATGGTTGCACATCTACACCAGACATCTCCCCTTTCCTTCCTCTGCTTTCATAAGTAGCACTGTAAAAATCCACATGGCAAGCAAAAAAAGGGAAAAGCATTTTGTAAGCACTGCTCAACGTTACTGTTTCTCTTATTTTTCTCTGACACATCAGACACTAGAGATCTGCTGCTGATTTGATGGATCACTGACCCAATACCATATGACAGCTCCTGCATTCTTTGTTCCTGTGAAGGACTGAAAAGGAAGTTTAAGATTAGAACTGTCATTTTGAAACAGCTTTAATTAACTAGTGAATTAGGTGAACAGAAAGTAATCTAGTATGAACTAGTTCACACCTTCCATGCTATTAGTAACCACTAAAACATTTAGGTTACTGCAGCATAAAAATAATCATTTAACACTTAAAAAATACGCAAGAGTTACCTTAGGAAGTGCTTCATGATGACAGTTTTGCTTCTGTTACTGGAGCTGTAATAAGCTGATCACTGATAGCCTCTTCTTTGCAGAAGATACCAGTTCTGTAGAAACAGAATTAAGATATTTACTAACAGAGAAAAAGAGGTACTCTGCATTTGTTCAAGTTTGTAAGCTGATCTTGAAAGATCTCTCCTGTATGTTTTCTTAAGTATTGAAAAAAACCCACTCACTCAGTAAAAACAAAAGTCTCAATTTGTTTATGCTCCTCAGCCTGAGTGCATACTTTGGCCAGACTACTATCCATGTCCCTCTTCTGAGGGATCAAAAGTTCAATTAAGAGCAGAGAATTAAGTGAGAACACCTGGAATTTGTTTCAAGCTGTTTCAAGCACTTCCTTAAGCAGCAGTGTGGTTCACAGCAGCTTCTAAATGGCAATCTCAAGAGAACTTCAGCTCTCAGATTAAGCCCTCTGTTTTTCAGAATTTGTAACAGCACTTGGATATCTCAAGTAAAAGCAGCATGCAAGAAAAGAACTACTACTAGGTCCTGATTTAAGTCACTATAGGATATACGTCCGGTAACAAAACTTTCCTGGTGAAAACTTTATGAAGTGATACAGCTGATGTCTTAGAACAAATATAGTTGACCAGGTTGCCAATCAGTTCCGAGAACTGGAATCCTTGAGTTAATTTTCATTGTAATTACCATTTAGTTTGAGTTGAGGAACATAAACAATTCAGCAAGAAACCTGATAAATATATAACCCTGCCCATGCACTACGAAGTCCCCCATTGCTTCTTTTCTTTACTGCAGGTTTCTAAAACAGTATTCACATATGAGCAATATTGGAGTGAGAGGTGCAGACTTCTCAGATGACTATACTTCTTATCCTGCAAAAGGCAATAAAAATACCTTCCATTTTCTGCCAGAAACCAGAATACCGTTACACGTGCTGGCAATTGGGACAGCTTCCATACTTAAAAAGAACAAGGCCACACTTTAAATTTCTGTACTAGTATCGACCACACATGAAATCTTGAATGAGCACCACGCTCTTGAGAAACCAGTCCATTTTTTCCACTTACACAGTATAGAATAGGCTGAAAAGTTCCTAGAGGCCCAACAAAAATCTGACCACCTTTGTTATAGAAAGGAAAGCTATACATCTAGGAAACAGAGAAATTCAACCCTCTCTTCTTTTGCAGAACCCATCAGCACTGCTGGGATAAAATCCTTTCACCCCATCTAGTTTTCATTTTCTTTCCCTTTTGTTACTTGCTAGTTTTACATTATGCTGTTGCTTGCTGACAGGAAGAGAACAAGCATTTAAGTTTAGAAAAATGCAGCTATCTTGTTGGATTACATCACATACACATAGGGCTTGCTAAAAATATATAATCCCCGAACTGCTAAGGCTTCATTCATTTATATTGTTTCTGACTGGCTGAATCATGTTGCTGTCCCCTGAATACAGCTGTAATTGGTGCTGGCTGCAGTGACAGCTGCTTGCAAGGGCAGAGGGATGCTCACATCAAACTACTTCATTAATGAACACAGTAGGCAGGCTCCCACTACTTCCCGTTACAGCTTTTGTTAAGTCTCAGACAACAGCAAGCACAGGGAGCATGGGAGATGGGCAAAAACCAGAGGGGATGTAACCTGCTCCTCTTCTCCAGTCCAATAATTTGCTGTTCAAAAGCTAGTTTGCGAAAGATTCTTACAGCTGCGTCTCAGCTTTTTAGCATCAACGTAAATGAAGGAAGCTTCACCACAATACTTTGACCCATGAGGGCAGCAGTGTAAGGAATACACCAAGAGTGCCAGGAGCTGTCAAATCAACCCCTTCCAAAATGTGTGCCGGCCTCAGTCTCCGAGGTCAGCTCCCTCCTGAGTCTGATCAGGGACCTTGCTGAAAGTGATGCTGCTCCTTCACTACTGCTCCAAAAAGAAGAGAAATTGCACTTGTGTGAACCCCAGAATCTATTGAGACATGGCATGGCAGAAGCCTCAAAACATGCAGTGAGCTACAACCATTTTTTGTTTTTCTTTGAATACTCATTAAGAGCTAGACTGTTTCAAGAACTGACTTTTAATAAGTCAACACTGCTGTTCATCCACACCTGTCTTCTGCCCAAAAAGCTAAACTCAAATTACGTTTTTGTGAATCTGGCCATTGGTTGCTCTCCCCTCTGCCCCACAAAACCTCATAAATAAGTAACAAAACACATGACGAGTGGTTAAAAGTATGAACTTTGGATCTTTTTTTTAAAATAGTCCTTGAAATTACTCATAAAATTGTTTTCTTGCTACTCTACCTTTTATTTTTTAAATTATTTGAGAAATAAACAAAAATAATGAATTTAAAAGATAAATGTAAATTTTAGAGCCTCTCTAGGGTTGAGGTTCCTAAGGCCATGGAACTCAAAGATCTCCAGCTTGGAGAGGGACTGAAGTTCACCTTGGCAAGTCTGCTACAGCATAGAACTAGCCCATCGCCAGGTTAGAGAGCCACGACCTCAAAAACAGCCTCCTTCACTGGCACAAAAAGCAATTAACTTCTTGGTAGTTAGGTGGAATTTAAGACTAGGATGCAAGGCTTTCAGCACAAACAAAAGTATGCAGAGCCTACGCTGTTGTCTTGGCTCCACATAAGAGAAGAAATTTACTTTAATGCCTGGCAGACAGGCATTGTACTGAACAGGTCATAGCCTTCACAATGATAGAAGTTAATGCTATGCTCTGCAATTCTTGCAACAATTCATGCATATGGACACAAACACAGCATTAAGGTATTGACATCCATGCTAGACCAGGAAGCTGAATCTGAGGGCAAGAATCTACAAAATCACCTTTAAATAAGTAGGACCAGAGGGTAGCATTCTCCTTTTCCACATACCTTCATAAGGGAGTTTAATAAGTTTTTTTTTTTTAAATGAAGAAAGTACTATTTAAACTCTTAAATTACTTAGAATCCACTTCTAAAAACTATGGACCTGGTCACAGCTGAGTTAATTAAACAACTCATAAAACCATAGAGCGGCTACCCCTAATTTCCACCAACCTCTTCTCTTCTCAAAAGAAAGTAGACTTCTCTGAAAATACGAAAGAAAAAAAAATTACTCTATTTTACTCCCAGGAAACTTGTTACAGCATGTCAGTGAGTAAGAGCTTTAGACTACATTTATTTGCACCTCTTCTGAGACTTCTCAGGCAAACTGTTTTGTCAATTACCATCAGATGTGCTTGGAAAAAAGTACTTGGGGTTCAGGCAGAAGGACTTGGCTCACAGCCTCCTATTTTCTTATTGAAAGATATACCAGAATAATTTCTTCATTAAGTTGGATGCTTGTAGAGCA